AGTAGAGGTTGCCGCGTTCAACAGTCAGTAACTAACCCAAGCTACAAGCGCTCCACACATCCGGGCTGATCGTCCGAGGTTATTCAGCTGGGGGCAGCTGCAAGGTCCTTTGGCGCAGGTCACCTGGTTCGGTTGTCCCCGGATGGGGGGAGGCAAACGGCCGGGTTGGCGTGTATTATCAGCAACCCCAGATCCCCACACGCCCTGTCCAACTTGTAACTTAATACAGAGTTAGGATGAACAAGAAGCAATGGACCGACCAGCTTGCAGGAAACCTCGCAGCTACGTCCCGAAACTCGCCGTGATGGCTGTTTTTAGCTCCCCAACATATGTTTTCGTTAGGGGGGGGGGGGGAAAATTTGGGGGGGCCCCCCCCCCCCCCCCCCCCCCCCCGCGCCGGGGGGTTTTCAAGATTCTGACCGTCCGGATAAATAGATGAAAAGCTGGATTGGGGGAAAACCTATTTAAGGGCCCGCTCTGCCTCCTTGGATATAGAGTCTGTCTCTAGAGGCATATTTTGAAAACTTCCGACTACTTCTGGAAGCATCTACAAGCGAAATAAAGTCCTCATATATACATACATATCGTTCATTTTGAAGGCAAATCTGACATCAAAACTTTCCCACGCGAGTTTTATCCGCCTGATACTTTGGCCGTCTTACTTCCACCCGTTTTTCCACCCCTTTTTACCTACCTTACCATCTTTCTATATCACCGCCTTTTTGAAGCCTCTGTTTTGTCAGTTCACTCGAAGAACACAAGCCACATCTGTTTCCGAATCCTCGTTTTACAATACGTCGTTCTCAACATGTATTTCCACACTGCAACGCAGAAATTCCTCATCCTCGTACCTCAAGAAAATCCAGCCCCCAAACTCCCAGCAGCGGATGCAGCACCACTGCTTATCAGTTCTCCTCAGTCTTCGCCCGATGACACAGAATCCCCGGCCAGCCCTTTGCCGCAAAAGACAACCCGTTCTCCCAGCACCAGCTCGACTTCATCGACTGATAGCAAAAGCGGCTTTTTGCGGTTAGGGGTTTAAATAGATTCGCTTCTTTTAAGTCATTGAAGGCGAAGAGATCCCCATTTCTGGTTGTTTGTTTACTCTTTCTAACGCCCCGCATCTACCCTTCCTAGACATGTATGCCATTCCGGACAAGTGGGACAATTAGTTCCTAGCCGCAGAAGGGCTTTCTGTAATTTTTGCCTTTCCGTTTTCCCGCTCTCCCGTTTTCCCGTTTACCTTTTACCTTTTTCCCTTCTAAAACTCTCTCGGTTTCTTTTAAGTTGGCGAGGTGAAGCCTGGCACGATATCCGTTTGACAGTGGGACCACCTTATGATTCGATCGTCAGATAACTCTAAAAATAAACTCTTGAAGTTAAAGAACATTGCATTCATTTTGCTCACTCATCCATTTCCTCTTGTATATCTCAACTTCCAATATTAAGACTGCAAGTTGAGAGCATTTGGCTCTCCATTCACCTGTATGAATGCCCAAATACGGAGTAGCAGGTGGGCTATTGTTAAACCTCACATTCTAATCTCTGGCGCAATTCTGGCTGCAGCAACAACGTCCACACAACTACGCCAAGCATCGCTCAGAATGGGTTGACGGAATAACTACGGATGAGATCTACATCTTATATCAGCGCCAAGATTAGCTTTTTCTTTTATTATTCAAGACCTCTGCAACGTTCGTTGATTCGAATGCAGCAAACAATGTAGTAGGGTGCTAAAAGAAAAAGAAGAGAGAGAGAGAGAGAGTAAGAAATACAGAATGAAGAGAATTAAATCGTTGTTTTCGGTTGACATCGGTCGATTGCCAAACACTCACACACGCTTCCGGATGACTGGCTGCTAATTCGTCTGGAGCAAGAAGAGAATAAAAAAATTAATCCGGCGCCTTATCTACCCTGGAATCAGCTCGTCAGCCATTTGCCGGCATGTATTCTTCCCCCCACCATGATCCCGCTGTCAACTGTCATTACTGCTTTTAGATTAAAAGCATCTATAGCCCCGGGGAATCTAGATCTTCCTCGTGCGTATAGAGTTCTAGGCTTAGATGGTTAAAAAACAATATATACTAATGCAGGAGCCAGAAGAGAAGCCGGATTTTCCTGCCAACACTTTGTAACCTGTTCTGTGCTACTTGCATGCAGATATTCCAGACTCAAGACACGGGATTTGCAGACTAGACACGCAGACTATTCCTGGAGCGGTGTTCAATTTTCATCTTTTACGCTTTTTACAGGTACCACAGAGCGCTGCAGTGGCGCGCCATTGAACGGCATAGATTTCAAGCCCAAGATCAGAAGCAGGCGGAGGCCAAAACATAAACAAAAGGTTTGCGGCGGGATTTTACCACCAGATCCTGTGACAAATGAGGCAAATCCATATCGAGTGCTTCATCTGACCATAATAACTAGTTAATGCAACAAATAGCTTAGTTATGCCCATATGGTTCCTTTTTTTTTTTTTTTTTTATTACCACTCCCATCCTAGAAATCATAGCATGGGTAGTAGGGTTTTGTTATCAGTGTATCACAGGGCAGGAAGAAGATCTTGGCTGCTTCAATAGCTAGCTAGCTCCGGACGAGTGAATCTATATTTTGCATTTTGTTGGAGATGCCGCCCCCTCCAATTGCAGCACAGAGCGTCTCACAAACACTAACAACACCGGCCCCCCCCTCTCGGTTGCTTGCCAAGTGAAAGACCTGCTCCGCAATAATCAGTCCATATTAGCCCCGTCCTTCCCTCGAGATCTCCGTTCCGCCACCAGTGCATTGCCCAGTACCAAAACAAGATCCGCAAATACTTTGATTCTCGAAAGAGCAAAGGAACATATCGTCCAATTGCAATCGCAGGCATGGGCGCATCACGGATGCATGCTGGCCTTGCGCTGCACTGCTTAGCATCGGCAACTATAGCGCGCGGGCGCCTCCCTCTCTCTGCAGGATGGAACGAGAGGTGGGATGGAGGGAACTGCAGGGCCAACGCCCCAAAAAGCCCTTCTTGGCTGTCCAATGTCAGAAGAGAACCCCATTGGCTAGGAAGGCTTATACACGTATGTCTCATTCTGTACCACATCGCGGACGGATTGCCTGGAACCGGAAATCCTTTGGTGACGGGGTGACGGTTGTGCAGGGCAGCGGTTTTCCCACCAGAAGAGCAGTCTTTGTGTTTTCCGGATGTTGCACATGGTCGCCTCAGTGGGTATTATTGGGCTGGTGAGAGGGCGCAGGAAGGATATTAGGTACCTTTTTTTTTTTTTATTCTTTCTTTTTCTTTCGGGGAATCCCTGAACATCCTGATTCATGCTCTCTTCGCATGTGTCTATTGGATGGACGTTCGAAACTGGTGTCATGTGATTTGAAAGAACGACTTTGAGCTTGCAATGAAAATCCACGGAACAACCGTGCAAAAGTATATTGCGTGAAATCAATTATTTCGTGATGAAGTTGCATGAGAGAGGGACTGGGGTGGAGAAGGGGTGAACCTATCAACCGTAAAAGAAAGGTGAGGAGGTCTCAAGCCATTTTTAACAAGTCACGACGAACATCTGAGAAAACAGAAATCGCTGGAGGAGTAAAATTAACCGGACATATATATTATACGTGTACTCCTCACACGGAACGAAAATATAGTATCTCAATTGCTTGGCTGTTGAATACAAGATAAATACGAAAAAGAAAAAAACCTGATATAATCTTCTCACATCTGCCACTTGCCTTGCCCTATTTACAGCGGGTGTCCAAAAACCAACAAAAAGTCAGATGACCGGGAGTTGATAATAAGTAATGAACAAAGAAAAGGAAGAAGGTTATTCATAGCTTTGCAGAACACATGAGAAGAAGTAGAAGTTAATCGCGGAAAGTGATAATGAATGGCACGAGGTGTTCATTAGTGGCCATGCCGGAGAATATTCCGAGTTGAGTGGTCAAGTAGTTGACATAAAGGAAAACCAATAATACTAAGTGGTTTGGATAAAGAGAAGAGACAATAAAAAAAAAATAAAATAAAAATAAAAAAGAAAAAAGAAAAGCTTGATTGATTTATCCAGTTAAGTGAAAAAAGAAGAATGAAATAAAATAGGAAAGTAATAACATTGACTAACAAAGGAAATAATAAGGAAACAAAAAGAAGTAAAAACAAACACATTGGATATTTATTGACACAATGTAAAAAGTGAAGAGCAACCAGTTAAGATGATGAAAAGCAGAAAAATGAGAAGGTAAAAACAGAAAACATACAGAACAGAAAATTCAAACCATCAGAGACGGAGTGACAAGGGAATTAAGAAATAATTAGGGGGAAAACAAGGAGTTAAAACCTCAAGGGGATTTGGCCTCTTTCGTGAAAATAGTGCAAGAGAGAGAGAGAGAGAGTTCAAACAATGCGCTTGAGGACGGGCAGGACCTGGGAATCCATGCCGAAGACAGGAATAAAGAAAAGGCCAAAACGAGCCCAAGGGAGGGGGGTGAATATAATTCATACCAGAGAAAAACAAGAAAAAAGGGATGTTATTGTGGTGGTACAAAGCAGGGTTGTGTGTTACTATGGACTTCTCTTGCTCCATGAACCAGAATAGACTCGTAAAGGGAACAAAGCAAATAGGATGATGAAGGGGATGGGAATGGATATGCGTCTGTCTTGGGAAGCGGGAAATGGGGAAGAACATCAACCTCCTTCCTATCGCCTGATGACCTATCAAACTCTTTTTTCATACCCCCATCAAGCTCAAACCACCTCTCTTATTGCCCTCCATATCGTTTCATCTTCCTGGTAGCAATTGCCGAAAATCTGCATGGCATTGATGTAAAAATCTTTCTTCAGACCGTCAGACAAGCTGAACAAGCTGGCCTGATCGCTTCACAAGTCCTAACTATAACCATAATATCCTTCGCCCATCCGAGGACAATCCCAGCAAAAACATCCCTCACCCCCCTCACTGATCACCGGCCCGATACTTCCCCCTCCTCCTAAAGAAGTCCATAACCCTCCTTGCCGCCCCCGAGCTCCCCGAATGATGCTCATGGCTCTTCTCATACTCATCGGCGAATCGCCGATTATTGTTCTGCAGCACACTGTGTCCTCCCTTCCCGCCAGAGCCAGACTGCGACTGTGATGGGAAACCACCCTCCTGGATCAACTGTCCGGAACCATTGTCATAATTTGGAATATACCTATCCGGGTAGCTGGGCATAAACTGCTCTGTGTTACTGGCGTTCTGCGACTCGGGTGATGATAGGAAGTATTGACCTCCTGTCGATGTGGCTGCAGGTGGTTGCGAAGAAGCGGAGTTGAGGTTTTGGTCGTTTTGGTAATAGTGGTCAGTGACTATGTGTTGGGATCCGTACGGGTTACTTTTGTCCCGGGGTTCGGAGTCAGCATGTAGGGCTGCAAACTGCTGGTCGATCTGATTGGAGTAGTTCATCATGTCTAGGTGGTCGTTGGTGTTGCCAAAAGATTGTTCGTCCGGGTGATGGACGGTATGTCCTGGGTTTTCGTGTTGAAATTGTGAAGGAGATTTGGCGGTTGATAGGCGCCTCTGTTGCTGCTGTTGACCTCCACTCCCCGGTGAGTGAAGGAAGTCATTGATCTGCGCCATAGGGGTCTCAGTAGTAGGAGACGTCTCCTTGCTAGAAGATGAAAATCCCTTCATGGAGAACGAAACAGGCAGGAGAGAGAATCTCCGTGGCCTAGCCATACTCTCCCTCGTAGGGTCAGTCTGTTTGCGGTGGAAGGGATACGAAATCGACCGACGCGAATCTATGGATGCTCGCGGCTCATCCGAGACGGTCGGTTCCTTCATGCTCGTTGGTGGGCAGCGTTTAGTTGGCTTTTGCTCCTGGTTAGATGACGATGATCGACCACCAAATATCGATCCAGACCTGCCGAATAATTTCTCCCCAATGCTATTAACGGTATTGGATCGCTTGTGGCCCTTGGCTGTACCCTCCTGTTGTTGCCCAGCGGCATAATCCTGGTTTGTGACTTGTTGAACAAGGGAATTTTCTGTGGGATGTTGAGTTATGGGAGGA